TATCAGTTATCTCCTGTTAATTCCCTCTGAAAGTTCTCCACTGCCTTAACCAGGTATTGAACTCACAACTCTTTGGGTCCTGTCACTGGATCTAACTAATGCCATTATCCACTGTGCCATGTGTCTACCCCATTGAGTGAAATTAGATCCAGTGACAGGACCCAAAGTGTGTGAGTTCAATACCCTGTTAAGGCAGTGGAGAACTTGGAGAGGGGAAATTAACCGGAGATAACTGACATCCATTAAACTAGAACAGTCTACCCCAGTGAGCGAAATAAAGGTTCAGCTTGACATTCCAACCACCTGAAGAAGACCGGAGCGTACAATGGCTGAAACGTAATAAATATGGTGACAAACATGAGGACAATAGTCCAAATAATGTACATAATACCTCATCTCAGAAATATAGACAGATACTGAAAGGTCAAACGTTGTAATAAATAACAAAGATGAGGACAATAGTCCAAATAATGTACATAATACCTCATCTCAGAAATATAGACAGATACTGAAGGGCTGAATAATGTAAATGTTGTAGAAAAATATAAAATCTTTACATCATTTGAAAGAGAAATAAATTCCCTATAAAGTGTACAAAATAAAACTAATTTATATTGTTTTATTAGAAACATTTTCTGAAATGAATAAAACCTTAACCATCAGTCATAAACTTATTTTCACCAGTGTATATACAGCCTCTTTGATAACAATATCAGTACACATCAACTTGACCAAGTTAGCATGGCAAGAAAGAATGTATTATAAGTAATATGCATTATATTGTAAGTAATTTCCATTTAATCTAAGTACAATTTTGTAATTTAAAATAGTTTGTTGTTAACATTAATAATTGAACAGTGTACAATTTATAAACACCTCAGGAGAGATATTATTAGTATTATTATCCTCATAACTGTTACATATTTACAACTAAAATCAATTTTACTGCAGAAGTTCCCAAAGCACAATATTTTTTTGTGTAAACTTTAGAAAGTCTGAGTAATCCTTGGCTGTCCATAGATTCATCCTGTAATTTCAGAGTCTGCTTATTTCTCGTCCTACAAAGAGAAACTTATCAAATATTTAAAAAAATCTTTTTCTCTATTACCAAATTCAACTAAATACGGTCATTATAACAGCATTAAAACTATTTAATTATTTAATTGCCATCATAAATAATGTAAATGAAAGATGTAGTGTAAATAAAAACAAGAATTGTTACCCCCCTCCTTTTTTTTTTTTTTTTTTTATAATTTTTAAAGTTTAAAATGAATTTGTTCTCAGAAGTTTTTTTAATCCAAAATGTCTTCAAAATTATTTTGATAAATTTAACAGTATTTTGAGATGGTAAACTAAAACAAATTCTTAGTTAAAAACAAAAAACGTTACCAATATCCAGAATGAGGAGTGTTCCCTTTTTAACATTTTGAATTTAATGTAACTAAAAAACATTTCACTTTTAAACTTGCCTTGATAAAGTCGGATTGACAAAACATGTTGGCAATGACTAAGAAATATATTTTCCAATTGTCTTCTCTTTTTTTTCTCCAAATTGTCTTATCTTCAGAAGTATTAGAGAAATTCACTTATGTACAAATACACTTGGGAAAGTTATAAATCCTTTTCTCCCTCCAGCTATGGATTAATTAGTAAAACATTATCACAAAAAAAAAAATTACATACAAAATATTTAGATTTCGGCCTTAAATAACCCAGAGAAGTTGATATGTCACTAAACGCAAACAACCAGTAATCAGCAGATGCATTGTTTAAAAGAGAATACCTTTATTCAACTTCTCTTGCTGTTTTTCTTTTAATGTGTTCTTTAATTGGCACACCAATTTAGAATGGTATTCTGAATTCACTGTTTAGCTCTTTTGAAACCTTTTCTATCACCCGAAAATTGGGACCATGACCTTTGCTGGTGATTTTTAGGTCTTGAATTTCTTTGACCTTAGAGAACCTGTGTGCTGTTGCTTCAGATTGCTTTTTGGTTTCCAGATCATAACAACAGTCTTAATAATATCAACAGTGATAAGTCGTTCTGAAAGATTATCGCTAGATCTCTGAAAATGCTGCACAATTAACTTGGATATGACCAATTGAAATTGTTTCTGGTCGGCATTCAAACATACATCTTATTTATACGCAGCTATTCATAAATTATAAACCCAGAGTATTCCTCGGGTATCTTTTAATATGTTGCGAGCCAGTGTATGCATTGAACAATAAACATGTCTCCTGAAATGCCCTCAACAAATATGGCAGAATTGGTATGTGAGTCCACGTAAAAAAATGTAAAGAAACTACAAGGTCCCCCTATATATATATATATATATATGTAGTGAGTGAATGTGAGTTTGTGTATTGTTCATGTGTATCCCAAAGGAATACGTTTTTCCATGAGAGACATGTTGACGTGTAAGGTGAGAAGAGTCGGCTAATAATTATCAGAGTATTTGTACTGCCAGGGAGCATCCCCTAGTTCTGATTTCAAAAATTAGGAGGAGGCATTACTTTCAGCCTAGCAGGTGTGGTTGATCTAATAGATAGCCAGGTCAGTAACTATATAGGTGACTGTTTAATAACACCGGGTGTTGGAAGCTTGGATGTGTACGTGAGGTCATGGATGACAGCTCGGGATGAGAACTGAGATGGCAGAGCCAGATTTTCCAGTCAAGTTCCTGACAATCATTCACGTGCAAATACCCTTGGGAAAGGTATGAAGCCATCTCTTCATCTCCTCCCAGCTATGGGTTAAATAGTAGGACTTGTACCTTGCACTAGTGGGCCTGATCTAAAAAAAAAAAAAAAAAAATTGTTAGCGTAATATTTGATTGATTGGTTTTTTTTATTGGTTATCAACCCTTTGCAGATTATTTAAAGTCAGATATTTCTATTTATTTATTTATTTGAGATAATAATAGTTTAGGTATACAAGTCCTATTAATTAACCCATAACTTGAAGTAAATTCATGCTTTTCCCGAGTGTATTTACACGTTAGTAAATATAACAAACCCAACGAGAATTGGAACTACTGCCCGCGTCCCCTTTTTGCCAGCCTTGCCACCTGCCCACGCCCCCCTTTTGCCAGCCTTGCCATCTGTCACCCATCTAATTACTAACCAAGCTCAATGTTTAGATTCAATGATCGTACGGGATGCACCATGGAATTTCCAAAAGTCTTGCGGCTGAAATTTAAAAGAAATCCGAAGTAGATAAGCAGTGAGTGACTTTTAATTAAGGCTGTAAACTGTCAGTAGATTACATCCGAGCCATTCATCTATTTTCTTATTAACGAAAACTGTGAACATCAAAGTAATTTTCACATCAACCTCGAGATAAAATCTATTGCCGACAAGAAAAGAGGAAGAGAAAAAAAATTAGACTTTCTTTGGTCCAATTTACAGTAAATTGCTTCATTGCATTTCTTTGCCATCTTTAGCTATTGATATGAGTGCAGTGAGTTATAACTTATAAGATGTACCGGGAATTGACACAGTCTTGTGGATGAAGTAGTTGTACTTTTGCCACTTGTACCAGAGTTTAGTGTTCAGTCTTGTGCAAAAACCTGAATTACAGACTTTGATATTTTTTTTTTTTCTCAGTAGGTAACTCCGCCAGGAAGATTATCAATAAATTTAATGCTCATAAAATCTTCTGTCTATATTTCTTAGGTGATGCATTACAAGTATTTAGGATTATTTTCCCTATCTTTTCTGTCACATTCATGATGCTTCAGCCATTGTATGCTCCAGTTTTCTTCAGGAAATGGAATTTTGAACTGGACCTTTTTCAGTCGATGAAGGTAGATTGTTCTAATTCCACATGCCATATGCCTTTGGATATATCAGTTTTTGCTCTCTATCCACTGAGGCCAGGTGTTGAACTCACAACTCTAGGTCAATCAACCAATGCTTTTATCCACTAGGCCATGTGTCCTTGGGAATTTATAAACCTAATGCCTCGGTAAACATTTTTATTTTTTACCAGAGCTCATGTCACATTTTTTGTGAGTGGGTGGTTGGGGGGCATGTGTTGTTGGGGACTTATAAACTTAATGTCTCAATATCAGTTTTATAACAGAGCTCATATACAATTTTTTTTCCTAAATATCTTGTTGTTGCTTGTTTTCTTTTTTTTTTTTTTTTTTTTGTTTTTTTTTTTTTTTTTTTTTTTTTTTTTTTTTTTTTTTGTGTTTTTTTTTTTTTTTTTTTTTTTTTTTTTTTTTTTTTTTTTTTTTTTTTTTTTTTTTTTTTTTTTTTTTTTTTTTTTTTTGTTTTTTTTTTTTTTTTTTTTTTTTTTTTTTTTTTTTTTTTTTTTTTTTTTTTTTTTTTTTTTTTTTTTTGTGTGTTGTTTTCTTTCTTTTTCTTTCTTTGTGTGTTGTTTTCTTTTTTTTCTTTTTTTGTTTTTTTTTTTTTGTGTGTTTTCTTTTTTTTTTTTTTTTTTTTTTGTTTTTAGGTGATTGTTTTTAGTAATATCTTTACCATCATTGTAAGAAACTTTACAAAAAAAAAAAACGGTAGCCTCTCCACTGACCAGTATAGTTGTTTCCCATCAGCACTTGTGATAAGGCATTGTGTTTTAACGTAGGAATGTCCCCCCTACTTTGCTGACTGGAGCAACACAATCTTCCTAACTTGATTAAGTCTGTCTTGAGAGGGAGAGTTCTGTATTTCACATCAGCATGTGTAATGATTTAGGATAAAAGTAGGATAACTTTTAAGTTAAGGTCCCACATGTACATATGACAAAAAATGCTGAAGCTCCCCTCAGCATATTTTTGGTAACATCATCTAGCCCTCTTCCATTTGAGAAGTATTGCCCAGAGAGGCAGACCCCCAGGGCTCAAGTATACTACACTTCATTTGAGAAATGAATTGGAAATGTCAAAATCTGTTATTCACTAAGCCGCATTCATACCTCTCCTAAGGGTATTTACATTTAAGTTAATATAATGAACCCAATGAGAATTGAACTACTCTCCCCGTGTACCCAGCCCCCTCGTGCCAGCCTCTACTTCTGTCCGTGCCAGCCCCCTGTCCGTGCCAGCCTCTACTTCTGTCCGTGTCCCCTGTCCCCCTTCTGTGTCCCCCAGCCAGCCTCTACTTCTGTCCTGTCCGTCCCCCTCGTGCCAGTCCCCCCTGTCAAGTGTCCCCCTCGTGCCAGCCTCTACTTCTGTCCGTGTCCGTGTCCCCCGTGCCCCTGTCCGTGTCCCCCCTCGTGCCAGCCTCTACTTCTGTCCGTGTCCCCCTCGTGCCAGCCTCTACTTCTGTCCGTGTCCCCCTACTTCTGTCCGTGTCCCCCTCTGCCAGCCTCTCTACTTCTGTCCGTGTCCCCCCCCTCGTCCCCCCTCTACTTCTGTCCGTGTCCCCCTCGTGCCCAGCCTCTACTTCTGTCCGTGTCCCCCTCGTGCCAGCCTCTACTTCTGTCCGTGTCCCCCTCGTGCCAGCCTCTACTTCTGTCACCCATCTAATTACTAACCAAGATTAACATTTAGATTCGATAATCGTATTCAACATTTGTCTACTCCTGGCCCAATGAATAGTCATTTATTCAAAAATGACTTGACCCAAAGAGTCAAAAGCTCAATACCTGACCACAGCTGAGAGAACAAAACCTTGGAGAGTTGAGTCACCAATGGGAATTAACTGAAACTAAGATGTCCAAAGGCATGGCATGTGGAATTAGAACATTCTACCCTCATGGACTAAATAAAGGGTTTGGTTTGAAATTCCAAGAAATATCACCTGAAGAAGTCCAGCGAATACACTAGACAATATGAAATTCCATCCCTCCAGTATTGCGAAGTGAATGAGAAGAAACTAGAAAGAATATTTTTTGTAAGAAATCAGTTTGTAGATCAGGTTTCATTGAAGAATTTTTATAAAGAGGGTTTTAGTCGAGAGTCTGGTTTGGTTTATTTTGTTTTGTGGCATATCAACACCTCTATGGGTTATTTAATGCTAACAAGATTTTTAGGATAGGTTTGCATGACTAGAATATGTATTCTTTGTAAGAAATCAGTTTGTAGATCAGGTTTCATTGAAGTATTTTCATAAAGAGGGTTTTCATCGAGAGTCTGGTTTGGTTTGGTTTATTTTGTTTTACGGCATATCAACACCTCTATGGGTTTCATTGATGCATGTTTTTTGTCAAGAGTCAAATGAATTGCTGGTAATTTTTTTTTCAAAAATGTATTGCTGGTAATAATTTTAGACGGGAGTTAACAGGAGATAACTGATAACTGACATCCTTAAAACATGGCACGTGGAACTAGAACAGTCTACCCCAGTGAGCGAAATAAAGGGTTCAGTTCGACATTCAACTACCTGAAGAAGGCCGGAGTGTACAATGGCTGAAACGTAATAAATATGGCGACAAAGATGATGACAATAGTTCGAATAGTGTAAATAATGTACAGAATGGTCTATTATTTATGAGGTATTGGCAGCACATAACACCGTGTAATCTCATTAAACACAATTATAATAGGATTGTGTGTCCGTTAGATTTTGTGCCGCTTTACAGTCCATTGTTAAACCCAATAGAAGAGATTTTTGGTTCTTTGAAAGTCAATTGGTCTGCTGGTCCCAAAGCTTCATGAAATATGGGACAATCAAAGAATGAGCTGATTCAAATTTTGAAGGATTCTTCCATGAATGTCAGTGAGTTTTGTTCTCACAGAATTTTATGAATAATGTTTGGCCAAAATCCTAATATCGTAACACATCTGTGTTAGTACTAAAAAAAAAAATAATAATAATAATTTTGTATTTATTATGTGCCATGAATAACTGTACCTGGCTTAGTAAATATCTGAGAAATGTTTTAACAGATGAGGGGAAAATGTAACTAGATTGTGAACTGAGCAATAGATACATGCACCTTCCCTATCTTTTGAACAGGAGTAGATTTTTATCCCTAGTTCCCTGTTTGGGATTGGATTTCTGGATCCTCCTAAAGACTTGTCATTCTCTTTCATTGCTAGAAGTCTTTTGTATCTCAGTGGCTTTATTACCTTGCTTGGGAGGAATTGATTTAAAAAGAAATAAAATAGAGAGAGAGCACATATATATATATATATATATATATATATATATATATATATATATATATATATATATATATATATATATATATATATATTATTTTATTTATTTATTTATTTTTTTATTTTTTTTTTTGAGTGGTGTAAAGAAAAAAAATACCCAGGATAGTACAAATAAAAATATATTAAAACAAATTGTATCTATTTACATTATTCAGACTATTGTCCTCATCTTTGTCGCCATATTTATTATAATGTTTCAGCCATTGTACACTCCAGCCTTCTTCAGGTTGTTGAAATGTCAAACTGAACGCTTTATTTCGCTCACTGGGGTAGACTGTTCTAGTTCCACGTGCCATGTTTTAATGGATATCAGTTATCTCCTGTTAATTCCCCTCTGCAACTTTTCCACTGCCTTAACCGGGTGTGCTGCCATTGAATATTACCCAAATATTAATCTATAAATTCATTTCGTTTTTGCCTTGAAAAAGTCCAAATTGGATGAAACGTATTGGCTACAATTACAGTTTTCCTATTGCCTTTTATACACACACACATATATATATATATATATATATATATATATATATATATATATATATATATATATATCTTATTTGGTTATGTAGATAATCCTAAGGAGTTCCTAAAATAAAATGTGAATATCCAGGTAAAACTCCTATTAGAGCTCAATGTATGAGAATAGCAACAAATCCTACCGAGCAATAAAATTAAGAAAAATTTCAAAGCAAAACCTTACATTTTAAATTTTTCAGCTATAAACTTAAATTTATTTCTGCAGTTTGTTTACACTGTATCTTCAGACTGGTTTAAATGCACCAAACACAGGAAATAAATTGATTTAAAGAAAAAAAAAAAAATGAAAGCAAGACAGACGGAAAAAAAAGAATTTTGTGGCAGCAGGAAGGCAATAAACGAGAGGAATGGGTAAAAATGAAGACAGAAGGGAGAGGAAGATATCTTGTTGGGTGAGTTCCAAACATCTCTTCTGTCAAATGCCATAAGAATAGGTTTTTTTTTTTTTTTGTTTTCTAAAAGAAAAAAAAAAATGTCATCCACAGAGAAACTGTTTTACTGTATCACGCCTCATCCATGTGGCTAGACATGTGATTGCTTTATTGGAACCTAAACCATTTGACATCAGTCAAAGACTCTCACCCTTATGCCATCAGCACACAGTGGAGAAAGGGACTTTTTTTATATATATATATATATATATATATATATATATATACACGCACATACATGTTTCATTAAATAATATAGACAAGTGTTGTCTATTTATTTTATGTAAATTCTTTGCATAACGTCTAAGTTTAATAACATTATCGTTGAATGAAGAAAGAAATTCACAATATTGATCCATATTTTTTTAATACAATCTAAGTTTTCGGCTTACATAAGCCATTATCAAAGATGTCAATTACAACATATTAAGCAATATACGGACAAGACAGTGATGATAGTCTGTCAATGTTTACATAGATGATTTCTAAGCAACGATAAACACGTGTATATAAGACACTAGAAGCGAAAATCGCACCGCATCTCATGACGTCACACATGACCACGTGAGAGTGAATTGGAGAAGTATGAAGTATGGGAAACTGTTGGTATAAACCAATGGGTTCTGTTACTAATTATAGACATATAAATAAATAAATAAATATATATATATATATATATATATATATATATATATATATATATGTGTGTGTGTTTATTTTGAACAATAAAACTTATTAAAAAATTAAAATCTTCAGACACACCGGGTTGTATATTAATATTCTTTCGTTTTTATTATTTCGATTAGATTCCTCAACTTGTTTCGGTCAGCATGGCAATCATCAGTAAAAAAAAAAAATTCTGTTTATTATTAGCAGTAAACTACAGAAATGAATGATTTGATGGAGAAAATGAACTTTTGTCTGTAGTTTTCATTTGTTTTATTTTGAATTTTTATCAGTCCTTGTGTTGGTCAAAAAGTCTCTTTTAAGTTGTTATTAAAGATAAGGGCTGGATTGATTCATGCTGCTCTGAATTCCCTTGGTCATTTTGAGTGTTTTATTGGTTCCTGGAAAGCAGATCTGTCTGTGTTGTTTAGTTCTTAAGGAGTGAGAGTATGATGGGTGTATTTTAGTATAGGTGTGTGTTATATATATATATATATATATATATATATATATATATATATATATATAATAATGAAATGGTTAATACAATCTCAACTCCAGAGTTTCATAACAGGGTTTGGCAGCCATTCCTCCATGCATTTGTCAGTAGATATGAGCAATTGACTACTTGTTTTTGTCGCTTTTATATCCAGTTAAATAAAGTAAATTACGCTCTTTTCATTGATGCAAGTTGATTGTTTTTTTTTTCTTTTATTTTATTTTGTGTTTGCATGTATGGGATTCTCTCAGTTTAATATTACTATACTGAGTTTGACAGTACGCATGTCCTTGTGTCAAACAAAGCTTAGTGAATATTTTAGGGTGTTTTACAAGTACTTTTAACTTATTAGTTCAGTTGTTAATGATTGTATATTTATTTTTTAAATGCTTGTATCTCTAAGAAATGTTTTTTTTTTTAGTTACAAATGCTTGTTTTAAAAAATATATAACTGCTGGTGATAATGAACATATAAGCCAGTCAATTGACTAATCATGACTCTTTACTGGAGAGTTCCTTTTTTTTTTTTTTTGCTCTCTATCTCTCTTGCACTGATTCACACTGTATTTCTGAGCTTTCCTCAACTACAGACAACTAAATGCCTTCCCATTTTGCCAGAGGGTAGAAGATGTTAAATCATTTTTTTTTTTTTTTTTTTTTTTTTCTTTTATTTATTATTTGGCTTCTTTTAGCTTTTCTTTTTTTTTTTTTTCTACTGCAGTCTTGTTTCTTGTCAGTATAAGAAAATAAACACGCACACATTTTAACATGACTTTTCCTCCCATTTTGTTTATTTTTATTTATTTTTATTTTTTTTAAATGTTTTTTTTTAAATGTTTTTTTTTTTTATGGTTGTCTTTGTTTGAAGAAACTGATAAAGAAAGGAACAGAATACGTAATAAAAAAAAAAAATATGGCTAAAAAAAAAAAAATAAATGAAATAGGGGAAAAGAAAAATAAATTAAGATTCCAAATTGGCAATGTTAATAGCATGTGTATTCGCTTGCAGATCAGTGGAGTATTTTGTGTGTTATCTTTGTTAATTTCTCAAAAATAGGTGACAAAAAAGAAAGAAAAATGTATTTTCTGGATAGCAGAAACTAGAAAGAGGGCAGCTATGGTTCTTAAAAAAAAAAAAAAAAATGAATCTACCTTGAATCAGGGACATATATCCTCTATGGGAGTTGAATTTTGAAACATAGAGCATATGTTAGTAGGG